GGAGAAGATCATTTTATGCCATGAAAGAAAAAGGCTATGGTTAAAAATTGTGTGACAGGCCCTACTACTTAGTTGTCATAAACTAGCAACAAATTTTGATATACATTCATTAACCATCAAAGCCACAGATGCAGGAACTGCTGAGAAAACTCAGTTTCTTGAATGGGTCTGCTTAGAGAACATGGAATTCTGTTTCACTATTGCCTTGAACTTATGTGAATATCAAGACCAGTATATACAGATGTCTATATTCACTGACATTTCATAGCTTAATAACTTGTAGCTGAACATGTGTCAGTTTACTAATAGACACAAAGTGATATGAAAACTCTATCCAGGCTACTCTGTGCAATTGTCAGGCTTAATTTATTCTACTTCAGATACACTATGCAAAGACTATCTCTTTGGAAGAGGCTCTAATGCTGAGGAAAGTGGAAGGTAAGAGAAGAAGAAAAAGAAGAAGAGGACAGCCAGTAGAAAGATGGATGAACTCAGTTGCCATGACAATGGGGTATCATTGAAAGAGCTGAAAGACCAGGATAGGTCATCATGGTCATCATCAAATCTACCTATGTGATTGCTAAGAGTCAAGCTAACTTGACAGCACATAATCAATCAACCAATACATTAATCAATCAACAACTGATGATCAAACAATAAAAACTTGTGGGAGTCACTCAACAGAAGGAGAAATTTTACATGCCCCATCCAAACAACAACGTTCATGTCCCTGTTATACTCTGGGAACCAAAGAATTTAGGAGTTTACAGAAACAGTTTCCTGTAAATAGCTTCCCCTAAAGTTCAGAATAAAAGGTTCATAGCCTGTTGTTAGAATTCATTGTGCACAGAGAGTTTGGGAGATGAACCTGGAAGACCTGAGTACAGAATACATAGCCTTGGATTGGATTGGAATTTGGGGATTATTATACTTAGTGGCTGCTAGGCTAATGGTAAAATTCTAGATGAGATACTAGCCACACAGATTGAGAAAAATAAAGGAAGAAAAATACTATTTGAAATTATACTGTACAGGTAGTCCTCGACTTATGACGGGTTAGTTAGTGACCATTCAAAGTTATGACTAACCCCCCCTCAAACTACTTATGAAAATCTGATGTCCGCTCTCCTCATTTAAACACATTTGTAGAGTCCCACAGCCCTGGAATTTATGATGTTTTTGCCTGGAAACCGGTGTTTACTTCTGGCTTACGGCAAAATCTGCCCTATAATGAACAATGGATTCACTTAACAACACGACATTCACTTAAAAACCACTGCAAAAAAATTGTAAAATTGGTCAAGTTATATGGTGGCCCGCTTTATGACTGTCATGACTTACAACCGTAATTGAGCTCCTTGTAACTTGAGGATTAACGGTAGATAAATTGTAAGAGTTCAGATATTTCAGCGACATTTTGTATGTATTTTAATAATGGTGATCTCTGGAATGTAGATATGATTAATAAAATATCTGAGAGAAATTGTACCCTATTATAGGTGGAATGTACTCATTAAAACTTTACATATTAATATTATCATATGAGACCTGGGGATCTTTTTCCAGAGCTCTCCACCCAATGGATGGAAAATTTGCTGACTGTTGCTGATCTCTACCCTGCCTCTATTACAACTGTGATACTGATGATATTGCCTTGATTTTTCATGTGTACTACCTGATAAAATGATTGACTGATTCCTCTAGTTTAGTTATTCTCTTTTTTGCAAGTCGCCAGCCAGCTGGAAAAGCATCTGCCAATCACAGCCTGCAGCAGGAATGGAGGCGGGTCTAATTGTGGAATTCTGTCCATCATCTCTAGGCTCCACCCTGTGCCTTTTCTTCTACTCTCTGTTTTCTTACAGCCCAAGGTAAAGTTACAAAGGGAACTGCATTACATGGAGCACTTTTACTTAGTTGTTCTCCTTTCTTCTTTTCCTTTCTCTGAGACGCAACCCAGGTTCTATCTTCTACATTCTTCTGTGCTTGTGTGTTCAGTCCTTTAGTGATAGATAAGGCTGATGTGGGACCAGACCAGAAGATCTGTATGTGTGTGGAGGTGATGCCTTCATCAGCCTGAAATGGCCACTAAGCACTACTTAGTCACCTGACCTCACCTCCAACTTAATGGATAGCAAAATGTAAGAGATTTTACACATTTTGCACTGTTATTGGATGGTCTTGGCATAAGAGGGAATGCAGTGTCTGAACACTGCTAGAAAGAACTTAAAATTGTGCTACTCATGGTCTGGAATTGAGAGAAAGGCAACTTTGTGGAGACATGGGCATCAGAAAGATGCAGCCAGGTGTGACTTTTGGGATGAAATCATTTTAATTCTCAACTGAAAAGTAATACTGTTTTCCAGACTGATTAAATCTTTATGAAATTTATTTCCTTTTTTTGGCCACTTACATATTTCAAATCCAAGAGACAAAGAGCAATGTATCATTCCTTGCAATAACATTTGACTATATGGTATTTTTTGTGTCAGGATTTTCTACACTCTGGTTACAAGCAAATGCTAGTAATCTTTGGGTTCAAATAAGTTTCAACTTTAGTTAAGTAAGATTTATTTGCTGACTTTTTATTACCGGTATATGCTGTATATTTTTCCTAATGTATTGTTTGACACATTGAGAATATTTTTGTTCCAGGCTTTGTGAAATCTCATAATAAGAATGGCATTGTAAATTCTAAAATGTTTTACTCAAATGCTATTGAAAGTAAAAATGTTAAACTAGAACTTATGCTGAGAATTAAATGAAATGTCTTCCCACCTTGTGCCCCCCCCATACAAGATGGACCAACTTTCATCCTTCATGATGATTGGAAATTAGGAGTTATAAGACATCACCATGTCAGCAGGTTAGGGAAGACTGTTTTTAAAGCTATTAATAAACTCAATTAACCTATTCATTCAGTTTATACACCACCTTTCCTTCCTAAAAATTATCAGGTTAAAAGCAACTGGAATATATCTTCAGATTTAGGCAACGTTGTATCCTCCAGGTGTTGTGACTACAACTCCCGTAAAATCTATCCACCATGACCAACAGTCAGAAATTATAGGAATTGTCTTTCAGATATCTGGAGGGACCAGGATCCCAACTTCTTAATTTTGTGTCAGCAAAATATGGAGTGGGACCATGCACAACAGAAGAGGAAGAAGCTTAGCTCACCTCCTCTTGCTGTCACCTGTTGAAATCCTGAGCTATAAAGCAGGGCTTCTGGACAGAAGGGAAATACCGAGAGTACACCTAGATCTCTCGACGGCTCAGCTCATAGAATGCTATGAGCTACAGATTCTCTTTTCATCCCACTTATTTCCCACAGTGAGGGGCAATTTTATTACAAAGAGATGAAGAGAGGGATGAGGTGCAGATCTGAGTCTAATCATTAGCCGATCAAGCTGTTCTAATCTAATGCACAGATTCTTTTGGCCTTCCTTTGTAGAAAAAAAAGATAATTTATCATACTGAGGACATCAGTCAAATCCATTCTGTTGTATGTGAAAATCTGATTCCCATGGTCAGCAACTGGAATGAAATTTCAAAAGGACACCCTACCTCCCCAGATGGCTCTTGCCCAATGTTTTGCTGATTGGGAATTATGGGGGCTGACATTCAACCTATGCTGAGTTGAGGAAGGCTGATGAGAGATGATCTTATGAACACTTATCTATCAAAAGGCTATAGTACAGAGAACAATGTTATGCAAGTGTATTTGGATTTGCTTCTCAGTTGTATAAATGAGCTTATTTGCTACTTTCATGCTGTAAATCTCTAAATTAACAGCATTTAAATACTGACAGTATTTAAATGACAGTAAGACAGTAAGACAAAAGAATAGATGGTCCCTTATGGGGCAAGCAAGATTATTTACACAAATACAAACACAAGCCCTGTAATATATATACTGACAATTGCAAAAAACCCAGCTGTGTAATTACTTCGCCGACAGAAATATATAATGCTATATATTTCAGTTCCGCACATAGGCAGGTATAAATTAACCATGCAGCCTTGTGAGAAAATATTGGAAAATTCAGCCTTTGAAATGTATAACATTTGTTTTTTTTTTGTTATTTTTTTAAAAAACCTCTGCTTTACCAATTACAACATAGCTTCCATTTGTGTGATGCAGACTAGGAGACTGTCTGATTTTGTACCTATGACCTGGGATGAGAGAGTGTGATGGAAAAAGACCTGGATAAATGGCACATACAAAGGAAAGCAAGAGAGAGAGGGGGGAGGGAGGGAGAGAGGGAGGGAGGGCGGGAAAGGGAGAGAGGGAGAGAGATTGAAAACTAGAATGATGGGAGAGAGAAAAAGACAAAAAGAGGAGGGAAGGGAGGAGTAAAGAAACAGATACCAGACCAGGGAAATCACTCAGGAAACTGAGGGACTGAAAGAAATGACTGGGAGGAAGAGATGGAAGCAAGTGTATGTATGAATGAATGAATGAATCACTGAATGAATACCTGTCACTCCTTTCTCAAACCATTGCTTCACCCTTCGCTGCTCAGTGCCATTCATCCCAATTTTTTCTCCCCCCCCGCCTTTTTTTTTTTTTTTTTTTTNCAGCATTACCCCCCCCTCTATTCTCCGAATGGTACTCCAAATCCCCACTCCACCCCAAAAGACAACCTGGGATTCCTATTTTGATGTCCTCCCCCCCCCAACAAACATCTTTAATCCCTCTGGATCACCTCGCTTTTCAGACACCTCCATCTTCCATCCCTCCACCTTGTTCACACACACACCCCATGACCCAAACAGCCCTTCCAGTGGGAACGACTGGAAACTCCCTTGACCCTTCCCAGTGCCTTCCTTCTCCCCAGACGACCCTGTTCTGCCCTCTTTTCATCTTGCACGAACGTACCATCCCCTGCCCCTCACCTCGCCCCCCAATTCCCTCAGTGCTTCGCTCACCTCGTCCCATCAGTCGCATCCCAAAAACCAATGCCGCCCCCATCCCTGCCCTCCCTCCCTCCCTCTCTTACCTGCAGCATCACCCGATATTGTTCTTCGGGTTTCTCTACCACACACATGTTACATCCCATGGTGATGCCGCTCGAGGGGGGCGGACCGAGGGGGCCACAATTTAGGAACGGAGGGGCTCAGCTCATGGAGATCCTACAGGTGGGGGGGGCGAGTCGCTCGCCCTCCCGGCCCCCCCACCCTGGCATAGCCCTGGGCAGGGAGGTGGAGGTGCTGTCCAGTGCTTGCCCCCCATTCACCCCCCGGGCGGCATAGCGGCGGGTTTAGACCGAGCAGAAAATGGGGGGAGGACGGCAGGCGATGTTTCACTCCCCGCCCCCTCCGCGGGCGGTCGACGCAGGATCCCCCGGAGGCGAGGGGGACGCCTGTCGCTGTGGCGAAAAAAATGCACCCGCGTCCGCCGTCTGGTCTGCCTCGCTCCTTCGCTCCGTTTGCCAAAAGGAGGAGGAGGGGAGAGGGCGGAGTGAAGGGGGGGGGCGACGGACGCGGCGTTTATAAATATGGATGACTTCGGGGAGGGATTGGGAGCCCGGCCGTTGTTGGCGCGACGAGCCTGCGACGTCCCGCTGTCGGTTCCTCCACGAATTGGCCTTTCCGGGTGCGCTCTCCGCGCTGCTGCTCTCGCTCACGTCCTCGGTTTTCCCTCCGTCCTTTGTCCGTATCTCGCCGACTACAACGGCCGGCCTGCAAACTCTATCCGTCTGGTCTGCTCCCGTCTTGCCGGCAGCACCCGTCCCGTCCCTGGTCCTGCACATGCTGGCGCTGCCTTTTAGCATCCGGTCCTCCTGCACCCTACTTTGGCCTCGCCATCCGCCTTCAGACGTTAGGTCAATTCGTGGTACCTCTTTGCCAGGGCCTGATGCTTTTCTCATAGTTTAGGGAATGAATATAAATTATCCGCTCAGGTTTTCACTCTATCCGTGTGCCCAATATCAAAATTATTAGCTGCCACAGCCGACAGGTGAAAATGGCAAAAAGGCAGGTAAAACAAAATTTGGGAAGCTGATAGATGGGCCTTTTTTCTGGCTCCATTCATTAATTATCCATTTATACCCACTCCCATTGATGCTTCCTGCTGGGTAAGGGCTGTTCTAATGTCCTATTTTCTATAGCAATCAGTACAGGTAGTCTTCGAGTTACAAGAGTTCATTTAATGACTGTTCAAAGTTACAACACCATTGAAAAAAGTGACTTGTGACCATTTTTCATACAACCGTTATAGCATCCCCATGGTCACGTGATCAAAATTCAGATATTTGGCAACTGGCTCATATTTACGATGGTTGCCCTGTCCTGGCATCACATGATCACTTTTTGTGACCTGACAAGCAAAGTCAACAGGGAAGCCGGATTCACTTAGCAACTGTGGCAAGAAAGGTCGTAAAATGGGGCAAAATTCAGTTGACAGCTGTCTCACTTATCAACAGAAATGTTGGGCTCAGTTGTGGTGATAAGTCGAGGACTACCTGTATACTGTTGGACATGTCCTGCATTTAAGCTCAGAATTTCTAACACTAGGAATACAACACAATAACAAAACAAAACAAAAGACCAAAGCATTGCATGATAACCATCCAGTCTAGTAGTGAGGCCTTGAATTTCTAAGCCCAACCTACCGCATAGGGCAGTGGTTCTCAACCTGTGGGTCGGGACCCCATTTGGGGTCGATCGACCATTTCACGGGGGTCGCCAAGCAAGGCTGTCCGCCATTTTTTTNCGGCGCAGGGGGCGGAACCACGCATGCGCGGCGCTCCCAGGCAGGGAAAGTCCTCGACTTACGACCGGTTGGGTAGTCCTCGACTTACGACCGGTGTAGTCCTCGACTTATGACTGGTTTAGTCCTCGACGTACGACCGGTTTAGTCCTCGACTTACGACCGGTTGGGGTCGTGGCATTAAAAAGGTTGAGAACCACTGTCATAGGGCTATTGTTGGGCGAAAATGAGAGAGACAAGTGTTATATATGCCTGTGATTGAATGGTGCAACTGCCAATCAAATCATGAAAATGGGGAGCACCAACTCCCAGTTTATATTTCAGGAGGATGGGGCAACTGCGAAGAAAGGAACTATGCACGGAAAAATGGGTCTGAGGGATACTGAGAGCCCCAGACTGCTTGCCAAAACCTCCATCTGTCAGGGAGGCAGGGCTAGAGGTTTTCGGTGCCAGCAGAAGGGAGAAGGTGTGTGAATTTGTTTAAAGCTCACTTTTTGGTTATTTAGTTAAAAAAGTCCATTTGTCCCTTTGTTAACCAGTTCTCTGTGTTGCTCTGCCTCTTCCCCACATTCCATCCAAGTACTTTTCTTTAGGGACTTAATTTCTAAACCAGAAACAGGGGCTATCAGTGACAACAGAACAAAAGATACCAAAGACACCTCCCCCCCCACACACACAAGAGGGGGATATGTGCAACCTTCCTTGCAGTTCTGAACAAAAGATGAAATAAAAATCTAACCCAAGAAATACATAAGCATCAACCAGGTAGTATGAAATACTAGTATCCTTGACCCCTAGCAAAGGGCATTATGGACTGCAAGCGTAGGCTATAAGGCAGAAAGGACGGTCTGATAACTAGTGTGAAGACAGGCAGGAAAAACCCAGCAGGGTCATTTTTTGCCTGTCTGCCATTGTTCTCTCTGTTTAACCTTCCCTCCTCCCCCCAAAGGGAAGACAATTTCATAACAGCCCGGTCACCTGCAAGAACCTGCCTCCAAACCAACGTAACGTGAATACATCTGGGAAGAGTTTGCTTGGTTGCTTCATAAGCATGCTGTGGTTTGTTTGGGAGTTAGACAAATTCACCGAGTGTGCCCTTCACCCACCACGTGAGTTCTCCAGACATGCTGGACCAGACTGCCCATATTTCTTAGAGTCCAAAAATATTGGATTTGACATTTCCTGAAGAACATTGGCTCAAGAGAGTCCTTGTATCTACTAAGAGGATTATCTTTCATAGCTGGAAAGAAAGCAAACCTTTAGATGTTAAAGAGCGAGTTCAAGAGATTCTCTATTCTCTGTTAACCTTGCAAATATCCATATACTGTAAAAATGGCAAGACAAAACACTATCGTTCCACGTGACCTAGATTTAATAACATATAACAGAGCTGAAGCTGCTTTATGTATTAATATTCTTTATTGGGAATTTTCCAATGTATTACTGTCGTTATTAGCGCTGCTATATTGGTTTTTAATTTGTCAGTTAATTTCAATTATAACATTTTTCAGTTCAAAACAAAACTCCCCCAACCCTCAGATAAGGTTAGGGAAGGTGTAGCCCCAACTGGTGCCAGCCCTGGGAATGAGTCTGAAATAAGGCAGGGATTAGAGAGGGTAAGCAAAGAGAAAGGGGGAACATTTGTTACTGCAATGCTTGCCCTGGGGTTCCCCCACATCTCATAAATGATTCCAGGCATGGAGTGAGTGGAGAGGTAAATTGATTCTTTGATTCATTGTGACAGGCCGGAGCTGATGAAGAGCAGAGAAAGAGCAGCTTGTGCAAAGAAGTAATGGGGTTATGAAATGCAGAATGGTTTGTCATGGAATTCCTTCCCCAAGGCTCACTCACTGGCTGAATGTACGGCTCCCGCAAACTCACAGGCTATTGTTGAGGCACTTCAAACCTCTGAGGCAGGACGCGTAATTTCATGGCACCTTCTCAAGAGAGCGTCGCTGCATCACGCCAGTCAGGAGAAATAGGGAGCCTCATCTGCCCTAGTCACAAAGAGGGTGAAAGAGCCCCAAAGACCAGAAATTATAGCCATTATAATCTGCCATTTAATGTTTTCTCATTTGATTTTCCCCAATTACAACATGTTTGGTTATCTGACTAGGGACTGCCGGTGTGTATGTTTGTTAGTGTGTGTGTGTGTGTGCATATTTGGGAAAGAAGGAATAAATACTGAGATCTTTATGTTAGGATTTACATCATCCTTACCAACCTAGCATCCTCCCAAGCGGACCAAAAAGCATCTGTTCTGAGCTCTGGATGGGAGGCACTCTAGTCCCATTAATCTAGACGGTGTCAGCTTTAGCACGGCAGCATTATGCAGAAGGAAGCTAGGATGATATAATGGGTAACATGATGAACTGGTCCTGAAGAGACTCAGTTTCTAGTCCATTGTCAGCCACAGGAACTCCCTGGGCGATATTGAGTCAGCCACTCTCTCTCAGCCCAAGCAGGGCTATAGAAAGAAATGGGGGGGGGGGTAGTCACAGTACACCACCTGGAGCTGCTGAAGAAAAGACTAGTTACCAATCTAACCAACCACTCTGCAAATAAATAAATAAACCACTCAGCCTAATCTACTGTGCCGGGTTGTTCTTGTATGTAGGGATAAAATCAGGGGTGACCCAACCATTTATGCCATCTTGATTTCCAAGAGCAAAGGTAAAATATAAGTAGTAATAGCACTAGAACTGCATCCTTAAATGCAGCCTTAGTCAAGCAGTGATAGATTTAAGAGAGAAGTCGTGAGAGGGGTTAAAGCAGAGAAGAGTTGCTCCAGCACCCCCTTCCTTTCATTGCTTTCCCCCCCCCTCTTCCTCCCCAGGTTGCTGAGGTTATTTTTCTCTCTCTCCCCCCCCCCCATCTCAAGTTCCAGCAGTAGAAATGAGTCCTGCAAGGATAAAAACAGTTTGTAGACAAAAGCCGAAGACTCACTGCAGGAGGGAAAACAGCCAATTGAGGTGGAGCTCTATAACCTTCATCCTCTTGTGCTTAAAATCAAATCCATTAGTTAGGAGGTTTAAAGGAAATAGAGTACGATTTCCTTTAAGGTTTTAAAATTTGCATCCGTTCAATATCATTTGGCCCTCACAAATTGCTTGGGAAAGGTTCGTTGCAAATACAGCAATTTAGTGTCGTTAGATACCATACGGAGTGGGCTCTAAGCAGAGGAGGGTGCTGTTGTTCACACTTATTCAAGGATATATATATATATATATATATATAATACATGCAAGGAATTTAGTATGGGCAACAGAGTTGAAGAATCCGAGAAAGTCAGTATTTGGTTCTTTCATTCCCCCATCCTTTTCGGTTGGAAAGATCTTGCCCTTCAGG